TTAGCATTAGAGACGACAGCTCCTTGTGTGTTCCTGTCCTCTGAAGACCTTCCAGTGGGACAGAACACAGAGGTGGGACACGGTGACATTGATCATCTTGGCTCTATGTAGGCCTAAGCTAATGTGTATGTTTGTCTGTGTCTTGGTTTTTAACAAAAGAGTTGAAAAAGCTTACAGAATAAGGCCAAAAAATATTTTTATGCTTTTGTGTAATGTTTGTGTTTTAAGCTGTGTTATTATGAAAAAGTAAAAGAGCTATAAAAAAAAGTAAAAACATTACAGTAAGCTAAGTTTAATTTATTATTGGAGAAGGAAAAGTATTTTTTACACACTTAGTGTAGTTTCATGTACAGTGTTCCTGAAGTCTACAGCAGTGTGCAGTCCTGTCCTAGGCCTTCACATTCACTCCCCACCCACTGACACTCGCTCACCCCTCGTTCATGTTCTCTCCATCCCCAACCCCCCACCCCTCCCACCATGCTCGCTTCCCACTCATTGAGTCTCAGGGTAATGTCCAGCCCCGCAGGCTTCATTCATGGGAAGTGCCCTCCCTATAAGGTTGCACCAGTTTTTATCTTTTGTATCTTATTCTCGCTGTCCCTTTTTATGTTTCCATTCACAGATACTTACCACCGTGTTACTGTTGCCAGCAGTATTGAGTACAGTAACATGCTGTACAGGTTTGTAACCTAGAAGCCAAGGCTATACCATGCAGCCTAGGTGTGCAGTAGGCTATCCCACCTAGATTCCTGCCGGTACACTCTAAGTACACTCCAGGATGTTCACACAAGGATGGAATCGCCTGAAGACACATTTCTCAGAACACATCCCTGTAGTTAAGTGACATATGACTGTAATATAGCCACATGGCGTCACAATCACACTTTTACAGTCTCCATGTACTCCTGGAAGCCCATCAAGAGTAGTGCTGGAATGCTGCTTGCTGTATTTATGAAGCAAATGGACTGTTTCCATCTGAGGTGTAGTACCGCCTTACTCTGCTTTTAACAAAGGAATTTTCAAATCTCAAAATTATAATAAATTGGTTGGAACATTCTTGGATTAAAGAAAAGCAGTGCTAATGAATTTATTTGCTGTGCATTCCAGCCCCATTAATCCTGATGAATTCATCCTGGCTTAACATATGGCATGCCTTCCTTTAGACTTTCAAGTTTAGCATTAACTGCTTTTATACCATGACAGGAGCAAGCATCACTGCAGCAGGCTGCTGAATTCATGCCTAAGAAGCAGGAGAGCAGCATTCTTCCTGTTGAGCATATATTAAGCTTGGCTGTATTCATTTCACTGGGCAAATTTTCAAGCAGTGGTTCTCAAACTGTTTGATCTGGAACCCCTCTGACACCCTTAAAGAGTATTGAGGACTCCAAGGAGCTTTGCTTATGTGGGTTGTGTCTATCAATATTTACGAATTGGAAATTAAAATTTAGGCTGGGTGCAGTGGCACACATAATCCCAGCACTTTGGGAGGCTGAGGCAGGTCGATTGCTTGAGATTAGGAATTTGAAACCAACCTGGGCAATGTGGCGAAACCCTGTCTCTACGAAAAATACAAAAATTAGCCAGGCTTGGTGGTGCACACCTGTAGTCCCAGCTATTTGGGAGGCTGATGTGGGAGGATCACCTGAGTCCAGGGAGGTTGAGGCAGCAGTGAGCTGAGATCATACCACTGCATTCTGTTACCTGAGTGACAGAGTGAGACCCTGTCTTGAAAGAAGAAAACGAAAGAAATTAAAATTTAGAACAACTTGAAATAAATGTCTTAATCTACCTAAAATAACAATAATGAACCCATTTTGTGTTCAGTAACTTTTTTTTAATGAAAAATAACTTTTCCAGAACAAAAAAATTCAGTGAGAAGAGTGGCGTTGTTTTACATATTTACAAACCGCTTGGATGTTTAGCTTAATTTAAGGCAGCTGGATGCATATATGTGCTTCTGCATTCAGTCAGTTTGGACGTTTTGTTTTAGTGGAAGTAGACAAAGAAAATGTGGCTTCACAGGACTGTACTTAGAAAAGGAAGAATGCTTTAATGGCCTTTTCAGGTAACTGTGGATATTCTTTCTTGATGCTACATTAAAACTCCGCAGGCAATAGTGGTTCCACTGTGGAATTTGAAGCCAGTTCAGTAAACGCTTTATACTCTAAAATACATGGTTCTTATACTTCAAATCAGTCTTTTATGCATTTATGATTCTGTTTTACTGAATTACTGTTTTACAGAGTTATGTAGGTCTTCCAAATGCTGGCACATTTCATCATATATTTTTAAAATTGCACATTTTTTTTACGTCATCCCCAGTATCATCAGAAAATTCAGATTTTAGGGAGCTGTCCACATCTTGGTGACGAATAAAAGTTTTCCGGAATTCCCATTTTTTTCTTGAAAGCTCAAATGTTATTGCTTGCAGCACATGTTGTCAGTTGTTTCCCTTCTAGATTCTGCCTCTTTTTTTCCTAGAGTTAACTTTCTTTTTTTTTTTTTAATATATATATATTTTATTGCGTTTTAGGTTTTGGGGTACATGTGAAGAACATGCAAGATTGTTGCATAGGTACATACATGGCAACGTGGTTTGCTGCTTTCCTATCACCTATATCTGGCATTTCTCCCCATGTTGTCCCTCCCCAACTCCCCACCCCCACTGTCCCCCCCCTAGATCCCCCCCCACAGACCCCAGTGTATCATGCCCCCCTCCCTGTGTCCATGTGTTCTCATTGTTCATCACCCGCCTATGAGTGAGAACATGCGGTATTTGATTTTCTGTTCCTGTGTCAGTTTGCTGAGAATGATGGTTTCCAGGAGTTAACTTTCTAAACTGCAAATCCCAGTCATGGCCACCCTCTCCTCAAAAATAAAGTCTAGTTTCCTTGTCTTAGCCACAAGGACTCAGATGACTTTGACCCCAGCCCCCAACACTTGCCATTTCCATTCTTTTCTCAAACCTCTACATTATTTTTTTAGTGAGTTAAAACAACATAAATGGATTATCTTACAGCTCTACAGGTTGGGAAGTCCAGAGTGGGCTCAATTCAAGATATGGGCTGCAGGGAGGCACACCTATCTGGGGGCTGCAGGGGAGAGAAGGGGAGGGGAGGACCCGTTTCTTGCCTCTCCCCGCTCCTTGAGGCTGCCTGCGTTCCCTGGCTGGTGGTCCCTTGTTGTATTCAAAGCCAGCAGGGCTGGTGGCGCCACCTCACATGGTGTCCCCCCATCACTGACTCTGCTATACTCTTCTTCCATCTGGTAAGGACCCTTGTGATCACTCTGGGCCCACCCCTCATTCCTCTGTATCCGAATTCTGCTGGCCTTGTAACTTGACATGTTACAGTTCCCTGGGATTAGGATGTGGACATCTTTGGGGGCCATTGTCGCATCTGCATTTTTGCAGTCAATGCCCGATTTCTGGAATGCTTCCTTTCTTCCCCGCTTCTCTGAGTAGTAAGCTCAGCCTCCAAACATCACTTCATTGCCAAAGCTTTTCCTGGTGTCCAACTAGTTTATTTCCTGCCCCGACAGAGGGTAGGGTGTATGGCACCCATCCTGCAGTGGGGCACCAGGATACTGTGTCCCTGCTGAGCTGTGAACCTGACTTTATCAACCTTCATTGTTCTCAGCGCTCTCATGGTATGTGATAGAGCATCCAGAAATAGCAACAATGGACAATTAAGGACATTTGATTGTGGCCTGTGTTTTAAATACTATTGAATTAATGTTCAGTTCCTTTGGTGTGATCACGGCATTAGTTTGGTAAGACAATGTCATTCTTAGCAGTTAATTACCAACATATTTAGAGATCAGTTGTCAAGATGGCTATACCTTATCACAATGGTCATAAGGAAAGCATGTATTGGGCTAAAGAGGGATAAAGCAAATTGGGCAAAATGTTAAATATTGGGAAGTGTAGATAAAGAGTAACTATTCATTCAACTTCTGTAGGTTTGACATTTTCAACACAGAAAGTGAAAAGGAATTAAATATCAATGTAGGATGAAATATCAAAGTAGGAAAGATGACGTAGGTGGGAACAGAATAAGATTCCAATTGTGGGAAACCTGGTTTGCTGCTGTCTAAGTTATAAAACTCTAGCTGTTGATTAGCATCTTTATGTGCATTTTTGGTATAATGATAATCTTGCCTGGGTTCATATTAGGTGCAAATCATATTTCAGACAGCTTAATTAAACCTCTTCAGCTCCTGGGTGAGTGCAAGAAACTGTGCAGAATGTAAATGGTAAGATTTAGAAAACAAAGAGCTTTATATGCCGTGCGTCTGCTAGGTTCTTCCTAGCGTGTCCTCGAGCTGTATTCACACCAGGCACTCCCAGGCACTGGCCAGCACGATTCCACTCTAAGGTAACAAAAGTCCTGCATCCCAGATTTAGGATAACCTTCTGCCCATGCTGAGATTCTTGGTGTTATCGGCAGGCGTCTGCTCTGTGCTACCATGGCATCTGTTAGTAGTACCCATAGAACTCCATCACCAGATGGCCGATTGTACAAATTCGAGTCCAGGTATTTCCAGAAGCCACCAGCTAAGGTTTTCTGCCCCTGCTGACCTTGCTGGTCACTACCGGTGTCAGGAGGGGACTCAGTCCCCTTTGTGGCCCCTAACCGGGGCCTCAGAGCTTTTGCATGTCTACAGCCATGCCCTAGATTTGTGGAAGGAGATTACCCGTGTGATGCTTTTATATCTTCCTCTTTGAAATGTAAGAGTTAATTTCAGAGATAAAGTGGTGGAATCTCTGGTGTGGAGGGCATCTAGCCTGGCTCCTCATCTTCTCCCTGAATTCCCCCATGACGTCCTGTGGGGCGGCCCCTTTGCCGTCCACCCTGTCTTCAGTTGCTGTTAAGGTGGCATGTGCTCCCTGCTCCAGGGCTGAGCTGAATCTGTTTTCCCTGTACCAGCCGCAGACTTGGACATCCTGGGGTCAAAACTGAACATATCTGATGGTTCCTCCTTGCCTTTCAGGATCCCAGAACCTTCCTTGTATCTCTCCTGAGACATCTTTGCTGCAAGATCGAGACTGTCCTCTGGTGAGAAGCTGTCGAGGCCTCGTGTCATAGTCCAGGTATAGTCTGCCTGTCAGCATGACAGCAGCATGCTAGAATATGTTGTTCTGTTTTGTGCTAGACTGTTATTCATTTAGACTCCTAGTTGTCTGTTGACTTTTTAAGTTAACTGACAACTAAAACCCCCGGTTGTCTTCTGTTTTAGATTCCCAGCTGCTATACTTTTCAGACTCATGTGGCTACCCATTGACCCAGCAGAAAACAAGCCCATTTTTCCCCTTTAGTATGTTCCTTAAATTCCTGCATTTCCTTTCCTATCCTATGGCTTCTTATCCCCTTCCGACCCTGAGGCCTGGTCACCAGGGCAGGCTCTGGGGAAGGATCGTCCTGGAGCTGTCCCACATCATTCCTGGCGCGGACACTGGGCGCTTTGTCTTGTGCTCTGTGCCACCCGGCTCCTGGGCACTGGCGTGCAGCACAGCGGCTGTGATCCATCCCGCCACGTTTCTGTCTGTGACTTCTGGAGCCTTTGCACTTCTCAAGGTCAATGGCAGCTTCCAGTTTTCTTCCTGGCCCAGAACTTTTCATCTTGCCCCCATTCTTCTCACCCAACTGCTCTCCCTTTCACTTAGGAATGCTACTGTAACTTGTTCTTGGTTTAGCTGCTGTAACCATCTGCTATAGGGCAGTGGTATTTCAGGGTGTTCTTTGCAGCTTGAGAGTTAATTCCAAGTGGGCATAAGAACCAGGTGGGTCAGGGGGTCGGTCAAGGCTGGCCAGTGAGGTGCTCTGTCCCCTGTCTGTCTTTAACTACGAGTAGCTTCATTTTTATCTGATTCTTCTATTTGGGTTTGGCATAGGATGTAGTTTGGGGAAAAGATTTCCGCTATAAAATACTTCAAACTGCTTGGTTATTTTTTTATTAAAATAAAAATGTTTACTGAGAACGGAAGCTTCATCATTATTGTTGCTGTTTCATCACAAAAAAATCGAGGTAAAGCTTTTCAGTTGAGGGAAAGTGTGTGTGCGTGCGTGTGTGCGCGTGTGTAATGAACCTCACCTGACTTCTCTCCCACCTTCTCACATTCTTAACAGACATTTGAGGCCATTCATATAGTTAATTCCAAGACTTTGGCTATATTAGGAATGCACACATACTCAGACTCAGCAGCCCACACTGAGTTCTTAATCAGAAGGACTTCTGGGGAATATAGCCAGTGACCTTTGCCACATGTAAGCAACTTTGAGCAGACTGCCTTGAAATGAGAATTCAGGAGGAAGGAGGGGCTGCCCATGAGCCTCAAGTTCCTGGGGAGGATTAGGCTATAAGTAAGCACCTTGTTTATGGGGCTGCTACAGCCTTGTAAATGTCAGAAACAAAGGTGCAGAATTACCAGGTGTACCTTCCCAAAGGCAGTAGGTAAAATTAGTTGCTGGCCAGCAGGGAAGTGCGAGGACATTCTGCACAGGCCAGAAGCCACTGTGTGCTGGGGTGTGTGAGTCTTGAGCACCCTTTTCTTTCCTGTTCAGTTTAGGTGCTTAATTAGTAAAATAACTGAAATTAGAGTGAGTTCATTCTGCATTCTTCCTCCCGTCGCCCCAGTGAGATGTGTTTCTGCTGCCTTCACGGACTATTTTAGAACATCTTCTGGTGTTACCTAACCCTGGGGCTGGGCGTTGACATCTGAGTGAATAGCCTAAGTCAGACTCTTTCACTTCTTGGGCTGCGCGGTGCAGTATTGAGGTGTGAGGGGAAGCCCTTGGGTGGTCTTGGGGTACAAGTCCCGAGCCCTCTCTGAATCAGGAGAGTTTATGGCTTACTGGGCACCGCCATGATGTCACCTTTTCCTGTTGAGGAGAATCAGGCCAGGTGCCACATGGTAACGTAGGTGGCACATCTCCTGGAGGCCTTTCAGTCTTGGCCACGCTTGTTGTTTATCACATTCTGTCTTCTCCCTTCCGTTCTGTTCCCTGCTGCTGCCTCAGTCTCTGCAAGGAGGGAGGACACATAATAGGTGTATCGTAGGTAGTTGTTGCGTGGATGGATCGTTGCGAATGGTTACTCGCTTGCTTCTTTCCAGACTCTGCACTCTGAGGGCAGGGACAGTATGTGGTCTCATCTTTATGGCCCCCATAACTCCCTATAACCAGGGCCCAAGGCAGATCACCTAATTTTTCAAAAAGGAAATAACAGGTATTTAATGTATGCCATTTTCCAGGAGGAGAAAATTACTTTCAAATAATTCAGCCTTCCAAAATAGCCTCAGGGAAAGTCATGGTTATCCCCACCATTGAAGCAATGTATTAAAGAAAGGTTGCTGCTCTGGTCTCAGCTCCCCAAGGACTCAGTAAGCCAGTGAACACCAGTGCACCCATTATCACGCAAGAGCGTTTGGACTATGTATTAGTCATCTCTTTCTCCAGCTTAAAATAACACACAGCTTATTTTCTCAACGTTCCTGTGGGCTAGGAATCAGAGCAGGAGTCAGGGCCTCCCTGGGGCCTGTGCTTGGGGTCTCACAGGGCTGCTGTCTGGATGCTGGCCCGGGCTTGGTTTTCATCTGGAGGCTTGACTGGAGAAATATCCTCCTCCACCTTCCCTCAGGTTGTTGGCTGGATTCATGTTCTCTAGTTGTAGGACTGAGTCCTGGCCTCCTTTTTGCTGACACGGAGGCTGCTCTCAGCTCACAGAGGCCACTCACAGTTCCTGGCGGCTGCCTGCATCTCCCAGAAGCCCCCTGCAGTTGGTGGTCACGGGGGCTTTCTCAGCATGGCTGCCTGCTTCATCGAGCCAGCCCAGCACAGGTCACCTTTCCTTACTCCTTGAAAGGAGGAGTTGGAAAGTGTTTTCCATCTGCTATTGTTATAAGAAATTATTTCACTCCTTGCTTTTTTTCTGCATTTGTCCCTGATTTTAAACCTTCTACAGGATCATGGACCCACAGGACCCATTTTTCCTTGAAGCCAGCATGTACGCCCTGAGCTATCACTGGCCCTGCTGGCTGGTGGGTGGCTCCGGAGTGCCTAGTCCTACTTTGGGAGCGAGGTGGGCTAAATTGCTTTTTGTGAGCTGCCTTGGAACTTAACTGCAGTTTTGTCATGTTATTTATATAGGAAAATGTGGTCCTGGGTCTCAGATGACAGGCGTGTCAGGAACTTCCAGCCGGCAAGAGGTCCTTACCTCTTTTTCTGTGTTTTTTTTGTTTTTTTTTTTTCCTGTGGCATTGGGGACTGTAGAGAATAGTACCTGGGGCATATGTTAAAATGTCTCTTTTCAGCCTTTAAGAATTCCTTAAAAAACAATAGAAGTGGCTGGGCACAGTGGCTCACACCTGGAATCCCAGGACTTTGCAAGGCCTAGGTGGGTAGATCACTTGAGGTCAGGAGTTTAAGACTAGCCTGGTCAACATGGTGAAACCCCGTCTCTACTAAAAATACAAAAATTAGCCAGGTGTGGTGATGTACACCTATAGTCCCAGCTGCTCGGGAGGCTGAGGTGGAAGGATTGCTTGAACCCAGGAGGTGGAGGCTGCAGTGAGCTGAGATGGTGCCCCTGCACTCCAGGCTGGCAACAGAGCAAGACTCTGTCTCAGAAAACAAACAAACAAATAATAGATGTAATCTGAGCTCTCTCTCTGTCCTGATTCTCTGAAAATATGTGGAGTCTGACTGTCACAACGCTGTAACCAAAAAATGAAGAATTTGGATTGTGCACGGTGTGGAACATTGAGTTGAATGTTGTCATATTGAGGGGCTGGCTCTGGGGTCACGTTCGTGTGGCACTCCAGAGTGACAGTCTGTGGTCATGGTATTACTCTGGTGCCTTCCATGAAAGCCATGCAGGTGGCACTGCCTGTGGCGGATGATAAAATATAGACCACATGGTGTGCTGAAAGGGCCACTCCACCCTTCACCCCCTCTGGCACTCTTATATGGTGGGAAAGAATGGCACTGGCCCCCCATTACAAGCTGCCTTGTCCTCCACTGGCTTCCTCCTGGTCCGTGGGTGCTCTTTTCTCCCTGCCTTTGATCGTTCAGATGAGCAATGTGGGCAATTGGCTATTTCTTTCCGGATGCCTGAAAGGAATTTCAGGTAAATTGAATAGCATTCTTTTCTCTGGTAGAGGCTCTTCTCTTAGCGCCCACTAGCATATCTGCTTCACATAAAGAGAAGTCCTCATTAGAAAAGTATAGCCAGTACTTGTTGAAGACCGAACACAGTCAAGGTGGTCAGCCAGGCCAAGAGACTGTGATGTTCTTTTCAGATTAGAAGTGTGTTCCTTCTGGAGTGAGTGTCGGAAATTCTGGTCACCAGTGAAAAAGTGTGATTGTGAGTAGGGCAGGAAGACCTACCATAAAATGTGGCATTTCCTGGTGGGAATTACTTGTGCATGACATGTGCTGCGTAGATAATCCCCATGGTAACTACGGGCATGTGTTTTATGTGTGTGTCAGGGCTCTTTGAGAATAAAACAGGGACCGGGGAACAAATAGCAGATAAATATGAAAGGTCACAGCATTTGCTTACGCAAAGGTGTTGTATGAGTTGGATTAAAATATTATGCTGTAAGGCAAGCATATTGATTTGCTACCAAAAAACAAGAGAAGGCTGGACCTCAAGAAATGGGAAGTCCTCATGCTCAGTTTTTTCCTTCCAATGTTTCTTACACAGACCAGATTAGTCGCCCAAGATCACGTTTTGTGGATGTTCTTCCTTTGCTTAAAACTTTTGCTTTTAAATAAAGGTGTAAATCCCTTAGCTGGCCACTCAAGACCCCTAAAGGGGTCACCCTGCCCTGCCCCTGCTCCAAGTCACAGATCACAGGTCAGCGTGCCAGCCTCGCCCAGTTACTAGCATGCCACCTGTTGTCCAGCGGGCATGGGATCCATCTCCCCAGTCAGGTTGTTACCTGTAGAAAGGTAAGGAAGGGGTGAACCGCAAAATTCACTTGTGCCCCTTCCAATATATCACTCTGAAACGTGCCCCGCATTCCCGCTTATCAGCATCTCATGGGCAGACTCAAGGTGGGCTTGGCTTGTTGTGGGACCCTCACGCCTT